GTGTTTTTAAACATGATGGAAATAAAAAAAAACAAGTAGGGATGCTATAGTCGGGTATCTCGACTTTGAAATAATCTGTCTATGTTTAGAAGAATTATATAAATGAAAAAAATCAGAATCAAAAAATTAAAACAAACTTGCACAGCGTACACACATAAGGCATCTTTGTGCAAAATTTTGTGTCTCTACCTCTTATAGTCTCTTAGATCCAGGTGTTCATACGGACAGACAGACAGGCAGGCAGACGGACAGACAGACAGGGCTAGATCGACTCGTCTCGTCACGCTGATCAAGAATATATATACTTTGTGGGGTCTGCCACGCCTCGTTCGGCCTCTTACATTTTTCAGCTCGCGCAAACCTAATATAATCACTAACTGGAGGTATTTGCAAAATTTGGGTTCGAAATTCCAGAAATTACGGGAGTTAGAGAAAATCCCGATTTGCGTGGGAGAGGGAGGCAAATTCCAAAATACACATTTTCACATCTTTGTGCAAAATTTGGTGTTTCTAGCTCTTATAGTCTCTGAGATCCAGGTGTTCATACGAACGGACAGACAGGGTTAGATCGACTCGTCTTGTCATTCTGATCAAGAATATATATACTTTGTGGGGTCTGCCACGCCTCGTTCTGCCTGTTACATTTTTCAGCTCGCGCACCTAATATATGTGTGCACATTTCATGTACAGAGTATAATTAATTCCAGACTAATTGCAGATTTGCCCCATATTCGATCATATCCTGAATTACGTGTTCTTTGATCCATTAATTTATAAACAAATAGTGAATTTGAATAGCCAAAAGTGGTTTTAATTGGTATATATTTACACTAGCAGGTCTTACCCGTCTTTGCGGGGCTAAGTAAAATGTGCTTATAATTATAAGTTTATTTACTATATGATATTCTTCTTTCGTTGCTCTCTAAAGTTTTTTAAAGAGTTCATTTTCCAAAAAGCAAATATAGTGCAATAAGTACTATGTATGGTCAAGTTATCCCCGAAAAGTCCGACGCGGGACATTGATAATTTTGATTTATAAATCGGGACGTCCCGCCAAAATTGGAACGTTCGGCAACCCTATGTACATACATTTAAATTTTTCATGCAGGCGTTATCCGCCTATATACATACATACATACATACATATATAAGTAAGTATTAAATTTTTTAATTCAACACTAATTTGTGTCTTCAATTCCAAATATGATTGTTGTGAATGTAAATCGCATGAATACACTCACAAAATAGGCTTAACGGTAAATGACTCTTAGATTTGTTCAGAATACATTTGTAGCGTTGTTAGCTAACAGTAAAACGGTAAGTCGCTATAAATATGCGATCAGCTGAGATGCTAGAGATGGGCATGTGTCAGATGCTCTATGTGCTAGAGCATCAAAACTATCGATAGTTGAATCCGTCGATACAATCAATAATGCCATCGAATTTAGAATGCAATTAACAGAAAATTTAAATAATAACATCTTATAATTTATTGAGATCAATTAGAACAAATCATATACAAACATACATATGTATGTACATATGTACATCTGCCCGCAACGCGAAGCGGAATATGCGTAGGTCCGCTTTCGGTTTCTGCTTAATAGGCGTAAATGATCAAAACGAAAAAAGAAGCGCGAGCCAAAGGCTTGCAGTTGTTGTTGTTTTTCGTTTTAAAAATTTGACTTAAAACCATAGAACATTATTTATTACAATCAAACAAGGGTGAAGGCAGGGGCGGGCAGGGGGGTCCGTTTCACCCCCCCCCCCCCCCCCCTCCCCTAGAAAAAATTTTTCCATATAAGGTCGACCACACGTTCATTTTTATGACGCACTATTTCGCCTTAAAATGGATCTGAGTTCGATTTGTTGAAGTTTTTACATTGATCATATGCATAAGTTATTTTTTAAATGCATCGTGCATTATTTAATCAAAATTTTAGTTTTTTGGGCCCCCCTTTGGTAAAAGCTGCCTACGCCCTTGCAATCAAACAACGTGCTCGATTGTCCAACGTATACATACATACATGCTATATATGTACGTACACAGGCATATGTATGTACATATGCATGCATGTTTCTCTTTACTTTATCATACATAGACACGAACTGTTGCGTGTTCTGTGTGGGAGTGTGTGTATATGATGTCCCCAACTATTTGATATTTGCGTAATTTGTTGTTGCTGCATAAAGTTACTAATGAAAACCCTAATGCCAAATGTACTAAACAAAGAAAAAATTACTTTTAAAAATGTTAAATAGTTTTTAAATAATTAGCATTTCTTGCTCTGTCAGTGCAAGACGAAAGAACATACATACATACATAGATGTGTACATGTGTATAGATGTGTACATATGTATGTGTGTACATTCACACATTAGTGTCTCACATTTTGCTTTGGCTATTTCAATCGTTTGCACGCAACTACATGAACAGCTGCTTGTATGTGTGTGTGTGTGTGTGTATGTATACTTAGTTGTCCCCAACTACGTAGATTACAGTCCCCAAATTTGAAATCGCTCGGAAAAAAGTTATAACACAAACTTTTCATTTGAAAAGATGAATAAATATTAAAACCCCAATAATTCAAGTCCAGCACAAATTTCGAAAATCCGAGTATGCAGTTTTGTTTGTATTCTTTTATAGATTATAAAAATCAAATTTAAAGTTCATTGGCTGAAAAATGGAATTTTTCAAACAAACTTTGGAGCTAGGTTTCCCCCCATTGGAGCTCGAATTTTCAAAAATCCCTTCTTAGTGCGCACCTACACTATGATAGGATACTTGAGCCCAAATTTCAGCTTCCTAGCTTTTACCGTTTGGGCTGTGGGCTGTTGACGCGGTTTCCTTTTGTGCCCCAACATTTTTTTTACAGGAAACTCCCATATTTCAGGCCCCAAGAACAATTTCAAAAAACCAAGTATGCATTTTTTGGAATTCTTTTGGGAGTATACAAACTAAGTTTGAAGTAAATCAGATGTAAATTGTAGATTTTTCATACAAACTTTGGAGCTCGATTTCCCCCCTTTGGAGCTCGAATTTTCCAAAATCCCTTCTTATCGCCAGCCAACACTATGAAAGGATACTTGAGTCCAAATTTCAGCTTCTTAGCTTTTACCGTTTGGGCTGTGCGTTGATCACCAATCAGTCAGTCAGTCAGTCAGGGCAAACTGTTTTATATATATAGATACGGTATATATTGCCAAAATTGTTGTGCAGCGATTCGGCTGTAATGGATCTTCTATAAGCAGAATATCTATAAGCACTCAATAGCCACGGGTGATAAGAGTTATTCCAAATATTATAATACTATTGAAGAGGGATACTTTGGAATATTGTAAACCCGCGCCCATTATATGTTTGCTATTTTCGGTCGATATCTTTCAAATAACATTTATTTGACTAAAACTACTTTATCCGTTCAGGAGATATGATTTTTGCAACGAAAAAGGTCCGAAGGCCCACTGTGCGACGTTTGTCGAATTTTTTATTTCTCGAACTTCAACTTAATAGCGCTACCGATTGGTCTAAGTTCATTGCCAATCACAAATCACTTAGTCCTTTAATCAGTCAAATGAATTTACATACTATTTACATACTATTTGACCAAGGAAAATATAATCTTTTTTTAAAAAACTATTTTATTTTCTTATTGCTAAAACACAATAAAAATAAAGTTAACATATGCATGTAAATACATTAAAAATATGTATCTTACAAGTATATCCTAAGTAATACTTTAGACTCAGTTGTTGCTTTTACTTTCTGCCTGCAGTCCCACAACTTAAAGACAAATGAAATCAGAAATCACTTCATGTTGAAAATACAAGGTGCTTTCCAAAGTAAACAGGACTTTTTGAATCTAGCGCCCCCTGGTGGCGCTATCTATATGTCGCTATCTATATGTCTGGTGCGTTAGAATCTGCTATCTTTATCGATTGTCCAGTGAGAATTTCATGACATTTCATCGATTGGAAGTGAAGTTATTGCGTTTTAAGTGTCAGTATGTTTGTGTTATCGGTGCGAAAATGAGCTTCGAACAAAGAGCCAACATTAAATTTGTTTTAAGACTGGTAAAACTTTTACCGAAACGTTTCAATTGATGGAACAAGTTTATGGCGATGATTGCCTATCCCGTAGCAGAGTGCACGAGTGGTTTCAACGTTTTCAAAGTGGTCGTGAGGACGTAAATGACGATCAGCATGTGGGCCAATCAAAATTGGTGATCACCGAAAATTCCATCGAAACTGTGCGTGAATTCAGCAAAAATCAGCTGAAATCATCATTGAAATTGATGGAAATGGAATTGAACATCTCCAAAACATCGATTTATCGCATTTGGACCGAACATTTGGGCTTACAAAAGGTGTGTGCATGGTTTGTTCCGCACAAATTGACTGACGACCAAAAATTGCTCTCATCGATCGACGCTTGTGACCGATTATTTGACCAAAAATCATATTTTAACCATTAACCACTCGCAGTGTTCACCTGATATGGCACGGTGCGACTTCTACCTTTTCGGAAAATGCATTTGCCCATGAAAGGAAAGCGTTATGCAGACGTAGAGGCCATTCAAAAGGCTTGCACCAGCATACTGGCGGCCATACCGGCCAACGAGCTAAAACACTCGTTCGACATGCTTTTGGATCGTGCAAAAAGCTGTATTGAAGCAGGAGACTATTTTGAATAAAATAAATTGATTTTGCCAAAAAAAAACATTTCTTGTTTTAATTTTTTTTAAAGTCCTGTTTACTTTGGAACACACCTTGTATGTAGGCCTGTTATTCAATGGGGTGCTTTTGTGCGAGATTAGCAAGACTAGGGTGTAGATAAAGGAAGAGAAGAAACTTAAAATTCAAGAAGCGATGTGAAATCTTTCAGGCTAAATATGCCGTTGTATGATTATTGGCTTCTTCATAAACGAAATATATGGTTTTAGACTAATTCTACCACCCAAATTGTTGGCAGCTGTAATTATTTAAAAGCTTTGGATGAATATTTTCTGACTAGAAATATAGTATTTTATATATAATAAAAGCTATGTATTATATAAAAATTTAGTACTTTATCAGTAAGCAATTTTTGTGCAGCCATATCTTTAGGCAAGCGTATGCATCTTTGGTTTGGCTACAAAAATATTCATTTAGTTCACTTTTCTTTACATATTTGAGGCTAAAGTGCAGGGCTATGCGCTGCGTGCTTATCTATCATATGTGCGTACACATGTATACACATGTATATAAATATAATTGAATTTGCTTAATCTCAATAAAAAACACTTTCAAGCGCTCTTCCTAATTTGCTAGCACGTCGATTACCAGCGATTCACATAAAATTGATTGATGCCCAGCACGTGTTTCTCCTCGTGGTACTTTTGTAGGATATGTGTTATGACCGAGGTTGTGTCATTGTCTCCCCGCCAGACACGTATGGCCTGCTCGTTCTCCAGGATGGCCAGGAAAGCTGAAATCAAAATAAACAAGCCATCTTTGTAAGTAATATTAATAAAGCGATATTTAGCTTATATAGTATGTGATAATCAAATTTTAATAATTACTTTCTAATAAAAGTAACATACATATGTACATAGTAGAGTTCAAATATTCTCAATAGTTTATTTAAGCAATTTGAAATCTTGTAGGTCAATCGTGATCGTGTTACAGTGAAAACTCCCTTAACGGACACCTCTTTTAAGCGGACACCTCTATTAGACGGACACTTTTTCTAGAACATTCGTTTTGGTGGTTTTAGAGCAAGTTCAACTCTCCTGTGCGGATACTCTATTGATCGGACGCGGAGCCCATTTTTCGAGAAATTCGAACTAAAGCCTCTCTTGGCTGGACGCGAACCTCATGTTAACGGATGCTAACATGCACATACACATCAAATTTGAAAGAAAACCTCTCTTAGCCGGACGCGTAGCTTTTGGTATCAGACGTTTCAAATGCATGCCTATGTGCCAAACTGTAAAAATACTAGTTATAGACACAAAATCTGACGAATCGGCGTCTAGTCAAGGAACAAGAAGATAATTATGCCAAATTTTGATGAAAATAAATTTAGTTGTGAATCATGTCCCAACGAAAAGTGTTAAACTTAGAAGAAACAAGTAAAAAAGCTAACGTCGGGTGTCCCGACTTTGAAATACTCTGTACATATGTTTAGAATAATTATAGAAATTAAAAAAGTAAGAGAATTAAAAAAAAACAAGAGAGAACGCTACAGTCGAGCAAGCCCGACAGTAAAATAGAAAAATTAAAAAAAAATTAAATTAAAAAAAATAATTAATTAATTAATTAAATTAAATTAGAATACATGTTTATGTTCAGTTTTAACAGCATATATTTACATCACGTACCTATGCGTGTTTATATGCGTGTATGTATGCAACACAAAGTTGAACCAAAGCAGCAACAACAACAACAGCTGCGGGCAGCGCATGAGCAGCAATTTTATTTATGGCTATAACTTTCTTCAGAATTGACCTATCATGATGGAACTTGGCACACGGACACATAACTGGGGGTATTTAATGTACAAGAGTATATTAGGTTTGCGGGAGCTGAAAATGTAACAGGCAGAAGGAGGCGTGGCAGACCCCACAAAGTATATATATTGTTGATCAGCATGACGGGACGAGTCGATCTAGCCCTGTCTGTCTGTCCGTATGAACACCTGGATCTCAGAGACTATAAGAGCTAGAGACTCCAAATTTTGCACAAAGATGCCTTATGTGTGTACGCTGTGCAAGTTTGTTTTATTTTTTTGATTTCCCCCCCCACTTCCCCCCTATGGGGGTTTTCCCGATTTTCTATTCGTATAATCGCCTATATCTAAGAGACTATAAGACCTACGGACACCAGATGCCTTATGAGAATACGCAGAAAATGTGTATTTTGGAATGTCCCTCCCTCCCCCCTCTCCCACGCAATCCATAACTCCCTATTTCTTGGAATTTCGAAATCAAACTTGGCAAATACCTCCAGTTAGTTATTAGTCCAAATGCCAAGTTTCATAATGATAGGCCGCTTTAACAGGAAGTTATAGCCATATATGTGCATAAGACCAAGCAGTGCCCGCAGCTGCTGCTGTTAATGCTTTGCTCAGTTACACGAGACATACACAGACACACACAAACACACACATACACGCATAATTATTCTACACATATGTACAGAGTATTTCAAAGTCGGGACACCCGACTTTAACTTTTTTACTTGTTACTATTGTTTTTATACCCTGTACCCAAAGGGTACAAGGGTATATTAGTTTTGTGCGAGTGCACATGGAACACACAGAAGGAGGCTTGGTAGACCCCACAAAGTATATATATTCTTGATCAGCATGACAAGCCGAGTCGATATAGCCATGTCCGTCTGTCTGTCTGTATGAACGCAAGGATCTCCGAAAGTATAAGAGCTAGAATAACCAAACTTGGTATACAGATTCTCCTGAGACCGAGAAAGGACGAGTTTGTTCATTTTTTCTGATCCACCCCCCCACTCCCCCCCTATTAACGATTTTCTATAACTCCCGTAATTCTTGGAATTTTGAACTAAAATTTGGTAGTCACATTAGGTTAGTGATTATATATATATATCCGTATAGTTTCATTATGATAGAATGATCGGAAAGAAAGTTATAGCCATATAACCAGGCCCAATGCACACATACATACATATGTACAAGTACACAAACACGCATAAGGCACGATTCTGATGTAAATGTATATGTATGCATGCATAGAATATTTTATATTTAATTTAGTTAATTAATTAAATTAATTAAGTTAATTAATTTAATTTAATTAATTTATTAATTTAATTACTTTTTTGTGGGGTGGTACAGGGTATTTAAGAGTTGAGCCTGCTCGACTTTAGCATTCCTTTCTTGTTTTATATAGGTCATAGATATTAATAATTAAGAAACCATAAATATATTTAATTTTTGATTATTTGATCAACAATAAGTTAAGGTGAACACATTTTTCATAGAAAGTTGATATTTGTGCAAATGAAAGGAAATTCAAATTGTAAATATTATTTACATTTTGAATACAATTTACTTATGATTTTAGTAGGATATAGTGTTTCCCTATTGTTATTTGACCAATTGCAACCGTCAGGACATGGATTAACCAAATTTTGAAGGACGATTATGTACATTTTGCGCATTCGGCCGACCTGCTATAAACCATATTCGTAACATTCCAAAGGAGCTAAAAGCCGCCCATATCATGAGTGAACCTCCACCATGGTTGCATGTTTCAAATCGGTCGGGATCGCTATGGTCGCGCCAATACTTTTATGTTTATGCACCTTGGCGTCATATTGGAGACCCATTTCTTTTTTGCAAATTTGTTGCAACTGTAGCCCAGTTATTGGAATCTTTAATTCTGCCCTGACTTGGGCGCAACTCATCATTTTGGTGGTTACCAAAGCTCGAATATGCCTTTTAGTACGGTCACCAACTATGGGAACAGCCATATATTTTTTCGGAAATTTTAAAAAGTTTGAGACCGTATTCCGATGCTTGATTAGTGCTTTAACAATAACACCGACTTTAATGTTACAATCAGCCATAGTTCTGATTTCTATTTCATTTTCTGTGTTTAACTCGTTTTCGATGGGCATTTTAAGTTATTATTATTTTTAATTTCGCCAAAACACAACGATACGACTTTTAAGAACCCTCCAATAAATCTGCTTGATAATTCAATTTATTTCTGGAGATAATATATACATATGTCTCACATTTAAAATGTAAAAGGATTTTCTATGAAACTCATGACCTGGTATTCTTCTTAATTGTAACGGTACTAGAGATTAAGAGCTGATAAAAACAAATGTATGGCAAAACATCACAAAGCATAAGGGACAAAATTTTTATATACACTAAACATATATATCTCTATTAAAATATCAGTAATATCAAAAACAAAGTTGGCACAAATATCAATTTTACTGAGGTATGTATAATCTAGTGCTTTTTAAAACAAGTAAAAAAGCTAAAGTCGGGTGTCCCGACTTTGAAATACTCTGTACATATGTTTACAATAATTATAGAAAAAAAAAATTTAAGAAAATTAAAAAAAATTTTAATGATCCATTTTACCTTTCTCGGTATTCGAACTCACGTAAATGGTGTATAATTGCACATTTACTTAGCAATTGCGTCTGTGTGAGTGTATGTATGCCTATGCGCATCTATTCGTGTCTGTGTAAACATGTTAGCAGTCAACCAAACAGCAACATCAACAACAGCCGCAGGCAGCGCTTGAGCAGCAAATATATTTATGGCTATAACTTCTTGTTAAATCGGTCTATCATGGTAAAACTTGGCGTACGGACACATAATAACTAACTAAAGGTATTTGCCAAGTTTACGGGAGTTAGAGAAAATCGCTATTGCATGGGAGAGGGGGGAGGGAGGGAAATTTCAAAATATACATTTTCTGCGTATTCACACAAGGCATCTGGGACTAAAATTTGGTGTTCCTAGGTCTTATAGTCTCCGAGATATAGGCGATTATACGAATGGAAAATCGGGAAAACCCCCATAGGGGGGAAGTGGGGGGAAAATCAAAAAAATAAAACAAACTCGTATAGCGTACACACATAAGGCATCTTTGTGCAAAATTTGGTGTCTCTAGCTCTTATAGTCTCTGAGATCTAGGTGATCATACGGACGGACAGACGGACGGACGGAAAGACAGACAGACAGGGCTAAATCGACTCGTCTTCTTGTTAAACAAGTGCTGTCTAACATTGACATTGGCGCGCCCGAAAAAATAATTGACGTTTTAGAAGCTATACATTTCTTAAAATCAGCCTTGACTTCTGTGCAAAACAACTTGCCACTATCGTATTTTCGCTCCATTTTTTAATTGTTCAAAACATTTGAAAACGCTTCTAGTTGCGAAGAATTTCTTGCAATAGACAACAATGGCTGAAAGTGACATTGAATTTGAATCAGAATCTGAAGATATTGGTAATGACTCTCTCAAAATAAGCTCTGACCAAACAGCATTAATCGCGATTAAATTTGAAGAAATTTGTAAAAGATGACTATAAAGCATTTGAACACCTCAAAAACCAATTTGCAGAGTCGAATCTTAGAAAACAAACTTAAAAACGCATGTCAATCAAGAATATCCGAATTTTTTAAACATCAGTAAATATGAATTAAGTAATGAATTATAGATTACTTTTTGAATGCAATTTTTGCATTATTTTATTATATTAAACAAAGTCTATTTAATCTTAACTTTTTTAATCGCCTTAAACGAAAAACACGAAAAAAAATTAAACAAGAAAGCAATGCTAAAGTCGAGCGAGCTCAACTCTTAAATACCCAGTACCTCCCACCAAAACGAAAAAAAAAAAATTATATGAATTTTAAAATTATATTAATTCAATTATTTAAATAAATTAAACACAAATTATTCAATACATATATACGATAGTGGAGACATGTTCATGTACAGTTTCAACAGCATATATTTACATCAGAAACGTGTCTCTGCGTGTTAATATGCGTGTATGTATGCAGCACAAAGTTGAACCAAAGCAGCAACGACAGCAACAGCTGCGGGCAGCGATGCAAGCAGAGCATGGGCAGCGATTTTATTTATGGCAATAACTTTTTTCATAATTAAACTATCATGATGACACTAAGCATACGAACAAATAACCACAAACTGGATGTATATGCCAAATTTGAGTTCAAAATTCCAAAAATACGGGAGTTATGAAAAACACGAATTGCGGGGGGAGTAGGGGGGTGTATCAGAAAAAAAACACAAACTCGATCTGCTTAGGGCTTAGGGGAACCTGAATGCCAAGTTTGGTTCTGTGTGTTACATACATTCGCGAAAATAAATATAGGCTTTTACCCTTTGGGTACAGGCTATAAAAATGTGTTAGTAACCTCTTAAGCGGACACTCCCCTTGGCCGGACAAAAGTTGGCCGACGGTGGGTGTCCGCCCAAGAGAGGTTTCACTGTATAAGGTTTGAATTTTCAAATTTGGCAATTTCATCAGGTTAGTTATTATGTGTCCTTATGTCAAGTTTTATTGTGATAGGTGAATTGAAAATGGAGTAATAGCCATATATGCACCACTGCCCGAGCTCTGCTTGTTTTTATTGCTGCATTGGCTCAACTCTCTACTGCACACATACACGCACATTGGCACGAATAAACACGCATAGACTCTAATTTAATTAACTAATTTGAATTTACTATTTTGTATTTCTTTCCTATTTTTAATACCTTTGGTTTTTTTTTTGTGGTTTGTGGGAGGATAATTAAGAGTTGGGCCCGCTCGCTTACTCAGCATTTCCTTCTTGATATTTATAAACTACGGTTTTCAATAATTTATACAGTATTTTCCAGCAGTTATGGGGATGCTATAAAATTAGTATGGAAAATTGTTTCAGCCCATTGGATGAAATTCAAAGCAGCTTTAAGAAACTACCTAAACATTTTACATGGACATTTTATATATTGAATAAATCATATGTAAGTACAAAATAAACTATGCATTTAGCGACTCACCCAAAAATGTTTTTGGATTGTTTAGCGTCATCTGTACTTGAGGCATTTCAAGAATAACCTTCAAAATAGGAGAGTCAGGCGAAAGACCCTCGCGAAGCTCAGTCACGCTTCCAGAGCGATTGTCGCAAAGCCACTCGCAAGCAGAAGCTTTGTTATTTCCCGTTTTCTTCAATGCCGCAATTACTGTCGACTCTTCAAAGCCCATTTCCGTTAATGACTCAACTATTTCTTCGCTAGGCGGTACCTCGCGATGGCTGTATATGCGCACAATTTCCATTAAGGCAGCGGTATTTTCAATTGTTTCCTGAAAAGAGCAAGAAAATTAGACTATCGCCTTAATCGTGTTTAGCTATTTACATTATTGGTGACAATGGTTGACGGAGATATGGAGGACGAACTCTGTTGCATACTCATGGCCGGCGGCTCCTTCGAAGCATCCTCGTTCTGGTTTTGGATCAGCCACTCGAGCGTGGTCGAATATATTCCATTGTTCGCTTTCAGAGCATATTCGGCCAGTTCACGCTTGAATCCCATATCCACGAGGCATTGCAGCGTGTCAGCGTGATGGTTTCGTCTGTTAATCAGTCTCTGCTTTAGCATTGCTATCAGACGCGGCGCAAACGGTCCAGCACCCAGAATGGCTGCAGACGCCTGAGCTAGTGAGATAAGCACTTTGCGCACATCATATTGGATCTGTAAAAGTAATAAGTTAAGCTTTAAAGTCTAAGTAGTTCAAAGAGCATTAATTAATGTAGATCTCTCACAGTTAATATTTTGAAATTTTTGTAAAATTTGTAAAATAGTACTCTTATAATTTTTGATCTGGTATATCGTTAGAAACTATTTCAAACAAATCACCTTTATCATAACCTAATTAAATTCCAATGCCTCTAATGCTGCGTTTTATTTGTATTGTCATATCGGATGTGGTGTTACAAACTAGTTCGTTTATACCACCCGACCAGCGCAAGTGGTTCAAATGAAGTGAAGCATAACAAACTCTTACAACTATTGTTGATTGACTCACATTCGACTGCTGAAAGATCTCGTTGATGTCAATCACGGGCAACAAGCTGGTGTTGTTAGGCACATACCGCGTTGCAGACTCCAAAAGAGCTTCATTCGGTCCGGGCACTTCGCGCGTTCTCGCTGCCGTTTGGGTGAGCGTATTTCGGCGCGGTGCCAAAATGAAAGTCTCGTTATTAAGCACCTGCAGCTGCGCCAAAGTATCACTCTCATTCAGCTCGCTGCCAAAGTACTCGGCACGGAAAAGACGATAGCGCGGGTTTAAGTGACGCACGTCAGGTGCAAACAACTGTATAGATTCGGGATCGTCACTCAACTCCAAGATGACCTCGCTCTTTAGATCACTCAGCCGCTTATTGACATCCGTCCTAAAGATAAGAACCCTCGAGCTCGGGCAGATTACTCGCACCGTGATGGACTCGCCGGGTTTGAGCGTCTCGACATCTGCGCCTGTCGACGGGGCGGAGGCAAGGCGTGCGGCATTTTTTCTGAATTAGATGTACATGACCAACCTCATTAAGTATAGTTCCAATTACAACACCTACCTGAGAAACAAACTGCGCAATTTTTGCATAGTTCGTTTTGGAATATGCGTAACCCAACGGAAAATTTCGATAAGTTGTGAGCATGTGTATATGTGGAGTAAAAAGTTAAAATCTCTGGTCTATAATTTAAGCCTATAATCATTTTATGTCTGGCAACTTACTCATTGGCCTGCTTCGTGTAAAGTGGCCTTGTGGGAACGTGAGTGGGCGTCTCGATTAAGGGGCGGCGTTGCAAAGCCGGCGATGATAACGGTGTTCCCAAAATGCATCCGTCTATTCCAACACCATCCGTCTGAGTTTCTGTTTCCGTTGTGTGCACTGCCAGCCTGGACGACTGGCGACTGCCCATACTAATGCTGGCACTGTCAGCATCACTTACGCTACTGCCCTCATTTGGTTGGCCTGGGAGAGGACGCTTGTAACGTGCTGCCCACTTGGCCCTCTTCTCATTAAACTTCTCCCGCATCCACGGTATCATCTCGTGGCTGCCATTAAGCGCGTTGACTATTAACAGTTTGAAAAGGTGCGTCCATCATTTTCTGAAGCTGTGCACTCTGCACTATTGTAGGGATGTGCAATATAATAATATATCGATTTTTGGCTTCGATATATCTAACGATCCGATGTATTAAATATTCCGATGTCGACGCGTACAATCGATGCTATTGATTCGATGCATCGAATCTGACTTTGACTCGTTATATTTAAAAAATTTGTGTATATGTTTAATTGCACAAAAGATTTTTGGTGTTTTAAAAATAATTGTGCACAGAAATTGCCCAATCCTCTTAAAGTATGAAACTACCAGAGTTTCCAAAGCCGTTTTATTTAGCGTTCAAACCTTGAACAATAATACCAGCTTTCTGCCAAGTGACAGGCTTTTTTTTAAAAAACTAACACAACAACGAAGCCGTTTCCAAGCCATAAATATTGTTCATGCAAATGTTGCCTAGATACTAATTTTTTCTTTTAATATGCTTAAGGATTTTTTTTGCTCACCACCACAAGCTTGTCTAATGCAAAACAAATTACCGAACACACAGATGAAATGATATCCTGATTTGCAATGTCTTCAGCCAAATTTAAGAACAATCTCATAAATAATGAAAAATAATACGGATTATTTTGCCTTGCCATTTGTTAAAGGTATGTACGCAACAATATGTACAAATAATGTATTGTACAATACAATATTGTACAATAATGTAATGTTACAAATCGATATGTTTATATTTTATATTACCTTCCTGTCTATTTTAAAACCGTATCAGAATCTAGATCTATGTATTCCCAAAAAGTGTTGCAAGAAAAAAATTATTTATGTTCGCGAAATTCAGGGGGCACAATAGCATTGTTTTCCGTTTTTATACCCTATACCCAAAGGGTAAAAGGGTATATTAGTTTTGTGCGAGTGTATATGGAACTCACAGAAGGAGGCGTAGCAGACCCCCAAAAGTATATGTATTCTTGATCTGTATTGTCTGTCTGTCAGCCTGTCTGTCTGTATGAACGCAAGGATCTCAGAAAGTATAAAAGCTAGAATAACCAAACTTGGTATCCAGATTCTCCTAAGCCCGAGAAAGGACGAGCTGGTGTTTTTTTCTTATACAATACTTTTGAATGGTAAAGAGTTGCAAAAAGTTGTAAATGTGGAAATACTAACTAATATATGTTTATTATGGAATTACTAAAGAACTTCGTCCCAATTAGCACGTTTTCTGTAAAATTGCGTTTGTTGCAGCAAAACTACTGTGTGGGCATGCAGAAATTGTTGGCATTTGTAACAGCAACAAAGACTCAGAATACGCATTTAAGCAGAATATATTACAGCAAATTAACGTATGCATCTTAGATGAATACAATACTATGTTAATATCGGTAAAAGTAAAATCCTTCTCAAATTATATTAAAAAACACATGCCAAGTTGTAATCAAACTGTAAGCCATTGAAAAAAAAAAACACAAATTGTTTTGCTTTTAACATGATTGTTGATGTTGATGGCGATTTTGAGCCGTGATAGAAAACGCTACAGTCGAGCAATCCCGACAGTGAAGTACCCTGTATCCAGACAAACTTCAAGCACTGAGTTATATACGCCCACAGCGGAAGCAAGAAGAAGAAGATGAGGTAGCTTGATGCTGTGCTTGTGTAGAGTGAAATGTTTTCGCTAATAACTTTTCTAAAAATTTACCGATTTGATTGAAATTTAAAACAAATATAGATGATTCTATATAAATTACGTGTGCAAAGTTGCAAAGTTGTTTATGTAGCTTTTGAAATGTGGACAGTATTATTTATATTTTGTGAACTAAAATACATATATTGCATGGGAGCAAAATATAGGCCAGTTTCTGGTTCGATACAGTTAAAAATACTGAAGTTAGTGAAAGTCGGCCATATCGGTTATATGGCAGCTATATGAAATAGTGGCCCAAACTTGGTATGTCGTCTTGAGGTACCAAAATATACGTACAAACTAAATTTGGGGTAAATACCTTAATATTTCGAGATTCTGCCAAAAAAACGGGCAAAAAAACCATAGTGCTTTGCCAAAAAAACGGGCAAAAAAACCATAGTGCTTTGGTTCAACTTTGTGCTGCATAAACACGCATAGACACGATTCTGATGTAAATTTATTATATGCATATGTTGAATATTTATACTTAATTTAATTAATAAATTTAATTAATTAACTTTTTTTAAATAATTTTTTTTAATTTTATTGTCGTGCTTGCTCGACTGTAGCGTTCTATCTTGTTAGTCTTACGTTAAAGCTATTAAAACAAAATTCAAATTTTACAGTTTATTTTCCTTTTTAGTTGATTTTTACTCTAAACAATATACAGTGATTCACAGCTTAAAATTTATTTTAAAATGACATTACGGTAGCCAACAAATGTAAGTGCCAATTTTTTTATATCCAAATATTTATTTTAAAAGGAAGTGCATTGTTTTTCATTAAACATATTTAAAATGAAACAAGTAAAAAAGATATAGTCGGGTGTCCCGACTTTGATGTCTATCAGTCTATCATGATGAAACTTCATTCAGCATTTTTTTTTACTCTGGAAACACTTTTTAACTTTATATAAATCCAACAGAATATAACCGAAAAGTGGAAATGTGAAACCACTGAAATAAAATCAAATATGAAATAGAGATGGTAGTTTCATTTAAGCTAATGGTGCTTAGTTTCTAATTTCTAATTTCTAATGTTGGCAATATTAAGAAAAGCGGATTGGTTTGAATCTGGGTTTTAAACATTAAAGCGTTGCCAACTTTTTAGAAGGAAAAGGCTGTTTTTGACGGGAAAGAGAGTGAAATAAAAAATGTCTCCAAAAAAGCGTAATAGAAAGCTACATTTATTTTTACAAGAAAAGCTGAGAGAAAAATGTATATTCCAAGGTTTTTTTTAATCATCTTGGTGAACATTTTTAATGATATTTACGCATTTTGTTTTATGTAGTCGTATGCACCTCTTAATCAATCGGTCAATCTGCGCTACTGCTGTATGCTGAGCAACAATTAGCACAGCGCTGCTTCTTGCTTCAGTAGCTTACAAAACCAATTTTGTTTTTCCCCTAAAACGCGCCCATAGAACGTCTGAGCTTCTTTGTGAGTCCATCATCTCTACATTTTTCATTGTATTCTTTCAAAAGCGAGCGCCATTACTGTCACAGGTGAGCGTCATTATATACATACATAATTAGTACAAAAGTCACTTTTTGTATAAAAAGAGTTCAATAAACCATCATCATTTACGACATATACATATAAAGCTGCCTCGTTTCCACTTTTTTTACATATTTGTTGGCAAAATTCTAAAGAGCGGAAAAAAATCTAAATGTTTTTTTTTTTTAAAGCCAGAATTTCCGCTTCCCGCAATTTGAAATATTTTCCCGCAATTTGAAATATTTTCCCGCAATCTCTTTTCAAAAACAACCAGATTTGACTGGAAAAAAGCCAAATTGGCAACACTGGTTTTATCAACAAGCAAATGTTAGCCCAGGGCTGCTAAAACATCGATATAACATGCCATCGATATTGTTATTTAACGTAATGTTGATTTGTCCAAACATCGAATAAAAATACTAACCAATTCTCACTTCGCACTTCGTTTAAAATGTAATGTTTTATAAAAATAAGCAACAACATAAAACTATTGCCAGCTATTATACTTATACATATGTATGTAGTATAATTACCGACTACCATTTAAGAAAAACGCAAGTATTTTTTTAACATATGTAGACGTTATTATTTCATATACTTTGGGATGATATGTTATAAAAAAGATTGAAATGGATGGACATCTTCATTCAGACCATTCTTTTCGAGTTATAACTACACATCAAGAACAATCACCTCAATGGTAGTTATGTAGTTGCCAACCGCCAATAGATGACACCAGTACCATTTTTTAATATTACAGCGAATTTTGATTGGGTGCATGTCTATTATAATCGATTTGTTAGTCGATATACTCATGTCCATATATGTGTATGAAGCAAGAATCTCTGGAGGTATAAGAGATAGAATAACTGAATTTGATTTACATATTCTCCTAAGGCCTTAGCAGGACAAGTTTGTGAATTTCCGTAATTATACCTACATTTTCAATTGTTGTATGCCAGTTTTATAATTCCTTCGACTTTTGTATCGAATGCAGTATTCTGCCATATAAATCTGGCAACTCTTAAAAGAAGGCAACTGTTGTCGCACAGATGGCGCCAGTTTTGGCGTCGACACTCAAAGCAACTCTGCATTTTTTGGCTTCTCTTTTTCTATCCACACATTGTATTCGTATTCGTGTCGGTGCGGTGCTTAGATTTAAGATTAAATATATATTGTTAGTAAACGCAAATGCAAATCAAAGGCAAACGTGAATGCAAATGTTTGTCCAATAGCAATGCAACGCCATCAATGTGCGCGCCGCCGCAAAATAATTGAACGCAGTGTTTCTGTCTCGCTAAATGACATACATACATATACACTTGTACATAGGAACACACATATTCACATACATTTATCTAACGAAATTTCAATTTACTTGAAACTGAAATCGTGATTTTATTTGGGTAATTAAACGAACATTTGAAAAAACAAGCGCAGGTAAGCATAAACAAATAAATTAAAGACAATAGATAAAGTTGTTACTCATATTGTTTTTGCACATGTATGTGTTCGCATACAAATACATATGCGTAGATACATCAATACGTTGTAATGCATACATATGTATAAGCTTGTATTAGTGTAAATTTGTGTGTGCTCGTGCGCAAAACAGTCGTGGTAGCTTACCTACGCGAGAAAATTACACACTGATTTCCATTTCCTATTTGTTTATGTTTGTTTTAGCTTTCCTTATACATATGTAAGCATTTGTATCTTCCTAAGTGCATTGATAAAATGATTTGTGTTCTACAATAAGACCTGTCAGATTTTTACAAATTTATTTATTAGCAACAGCGAGCGCCTTTTTTGATCTCTTATTTTTGTGTGGTTTTGGTGTGACCAACGCAAGCGCATTTCATTTGTTTTTGTATAAAAGACCAATGTCTGGAAAATTTTATAATATCCAATTGCAAGACCATTTCATTGCATTTACTGTCATAGCAAACTAAAGTTTTATGTCTATCATGCAGCATTTTACTCGACGAAGCCTTGTGGACAGACTTCGGTGTGGAATCGAAGGAGCGTACCCAGCCACATACCATACATAATTCCATTTGCTACCACTGGAGCATCAAGCAACTTAATTATACTTTAGACAAACTACTTTAGGACTAGCTAGGTAAGGCAATATATCTGACTCAGGCTCTTGTTCTAACATGGATTAATTTTGCCTTTCAGTACATACTTAACTAAACCGAAGGTATACAACATGTGGAACTCCGAACCAACAAATCGTCAGCAACAAAATGGCAACACTACCTCTGGCGGACAGCCCGCCAAACAGTTGGGAATGACCTCAGCCATAAGCCTCGCTGAACCTCGTCCTGAGGACTTGCAGCGCACCGAAGAGCTAAGTAAGTCCCTGGAGCCGTACAATGTGTTTGAGAGCCAGGACGAACTGAATCATCGCATGGAAATTCTCGCCAAGCTCAATACTCTAGTAAAGCAATGGGTCATGGAGATATCTATTAGCAAGAATATGCCTGAGGCTGCTGCCGAAAAGTTGGGTGGAAAAATCTACACATTCGGCTCCTATCGGCTGGGCGTGCACCATAAGGGCGCTGACATAGACGCGCTCTGCGTAGCGCCGAGGAATATTGAGCGCAGCGAATACTTTCAATACTTTTTCGAAGTGCTCAAAAAGCAGCCTGAGGTTACCGAATGTCGCTCAGTAGAAGAAGCCTATGTGCCCGTTATAAAGATGAATTTCGATGGAATTGAGATCGATTTACTGTTTGCGAGACTTTCGCTCAAAGAAATACCCGACGACTTTGATTTGCGGGACGATAATTTGTTGAAGAACCTAGATCCACGGTCAGTGCGCAGTCTGAACGGCTGCCGGGTAACAGATGAGATACTTGCACTTGTACCCAATATTGAGAACTTTCGACTGGCGTTGCGCACTATTAAGCTTTGGGCAAAGAGTGAGTTGCTTCGAATCTAATCACGGAAATTTCTAAATATCCTTTTCTACAGAGCATGGCATATATTCAAATTCCCTGGGATATTTTGGCGGTGTTACTTGGGCGATGCTGGTGGCACGTACTTGTCAGTTGTATCCAAATGCCGCAGCAGCCACATTGGTGCACAAGTTCTTCTTGGTCTTTTCGCGTTGGAAGTGGCCCAACCCGGTGCTACTAAAGCATCCTGACAACGTCAACTTGCGTTTTCCAGTTAGTCTTAAACTTTTGGTATAGCAATTTCGATTGCTATTAATTTTTTTCTGTTACTTTTCGTAGGTTTGGGATCCACGAGTTAATGCCTCGGACCGGTACCATTTGATGCCCATCATTACACCCGCATATCCACAACAGAATTCCACATTTAATGTATCGGAATCGACAAAAAAAGTTATATTGACTGAGTTCAATCGCGGCATGAGCATCACGGACGAAATTATGCTTGGTCGCGTGCCCTGGGATCGTTTGTTTGAGGCGCCCAGCTTCTTTTACAGATATCGGCATTTCATTGTTTTGCTCGTGAACTCGCAGACGGCCGATGATCATCTGGAATGGTGTGGCCTGGTCGAGTCCAAGATACGCCTGCTCATTGGCAACTTGGAGCGTAATCCACACATAGCATTAGCTCACGTGAATCCCAAATGCTTTGAATTTAAAAAGGGCCTAAGTGGCAACAACTCGCAGAACAACAGCGGCAACGAGGACGAACAAAAGCAGATGTCGGCCGCTCAGACACAGTCATCGGTGACGACGGCGCCTTTCTGTTCCATGTGGTTTATTGGTCTGGAGTTTGAGCGCTCGGAGAACTTAAATGTGGATCTTACTGAGAGCATACAAAACTTTACAGAACATGTGATTGTGCATGGCGTAAGTAACATAAAATAAAATTACAATTACTATATATCTCATGCATCTGGCATTGCACAGGTCAACATTAAAATGCTTAAGGAGGGTATGACTATTGACGCACGCCACGTGAAGCGGAAGCAGCTTTCCTTGTATTTGGATGCAGACTTTCTCAAGCGGGAGCGTAAATCTATGGAGAATCACACAAATTTTAACAACACGATGCTGGCCAATCGTAAGCGCCTGTCTTCCGAGCTGGCGCAGTCACAGGAACCATTACCGCCTGGCCAGCAATCACAGTCTAGTAGTCGAGGAGCTAAGGGGCAGCGCTTGAGTGAATCGGTACGTAGTATGTTATCCACCATTAGTAGTACACCTCAAAATGTAATGCCAATGCGCGGAATTCATGATTTCTACGAAGAAGAGAAGCGTCAGATATACCAATTTTTCTCCAATGGTATTTTTAAGAAACTAATTACAATTCAAATAAGAGGCCTTGCATAAACTTACCATGAGCACCAATTAATTAATACCCCAAATTTGCAGCTAACCGAGGAGAACTCAAATGCGTCGAGTGACATGGGTGCGCAAACGCCCACCACACCTACGTCGTCTCAGACAAGTGGTCCTAACTTTAAAACGACACAGGCGGCAACGCCGATTGGTAAAAACGGTAACGATGTCGTCTGCTTAGAGGGCGCGGAGAGTAGCCAACAGGATCAAATGCAGCAACCTCCACCGCACAACAATGGCAACAGCAGCAACACAACCGCCGAAGTAGCCTGCTCGTGACAACCGCCAACAGTACAACAGCTGCCGCCGCCACAGTTACATCCATATCATCATCACCATGCTGCCATGCCAATGCCACATAAATTCCGCAAGAACAACAATGCCGCCGCTGCTGCTGCATCCAATAGCATTTTTAATCAACGTTCAATTCTACACGCGGCTTCGAGTTTAACGGCCGCTTTAAGCATAACGGGGCACAAGCGCAAACAGCCTGCTGCGACGACAGCAACTTCATCGAGTGCAGCAAACTATATCAGCAGCAACACCAACAGCAATGGCGGAGGCAGCGGCGACATCAAAGTCAATTGCTATTATATCGACGATGATGATGATGAAAACTCACTTCAACCACCAACATCAACACTCCGAATAAAGTCAAATGCCGCTGCAACAACAAACACAACAATCGCAGTCGCATCAGCAACGGCCACAGCAACAACTGCAGTTGCATCCACAGCAACGACAATTTCTTGTAAGTTGAAATTCTTTTTCATATACATATATATATACTCTAGTATAATTATACTCTGTACATGAAATGTACAAGAATATATTAGGTTTACGGGAGATGCAAAATTTAACAGGCAGAAGGAGGCGTAGCTACCCCACCAAGTACACCTAGCCCTCGATTAACGCGGGGGTTACGTTCCTTGAAAACGTCGTGTTAAGCACTCTGATGGTGTATAAAGTGGGACTTCCCTTTTATACATTTGTATACCCTATACCCGTAGGGTAAAAAGGGTATATTAGGTTTGTGCAAAGTATGTAACATGCAGAAGGAAGCATCTCCAACCCCATAAAGTATATATATTCTGAATGAGCATGACGAGAGAAGTCGATCAATAGCGTCCACATTTCAAATGCTACCTAAACCCAACTTTGCACACATAATTTATATACAATTATCTACTGTTGTTTATTTGTATTTAATTCTGTCAGTTCTAAGAAAAGTTATTAGCAAAACAAATTCTCGCCAGTACTACCTAAAAATCACTAACTGATCAAGCAGAATGCAAAATCGTTAGATTTGCTTCCACTTCGACTAAGTCAGCAGCTTAGATTAAGGAATTAGCAGGAGTAAAAGCAAGCCTTTTAACTGTTCAGCGTACAATCATAAATGCAGAGCACCTGAAGCGTCTAAAAATCAATAAAAGCCTCCTCTGAATCAATTTGCGAAGGAAAACATGTCGTGGACTGTTCAATCTGACACTCGACTTAATGATTAACGTTTGGTTGTCTTTACTGATGAAAAACATTTTAATTTAGACGGCTCTGACGGATTTCAATACTATTATCACGATTTGCGAAAAGATGAGTTATATTTAAACCGCCATCACCTTCCCAGAAGGTGGAGTCAATGTGTGACTTAATTAACTTAATTTTTATCGATCAAAGCATTGTTGGAGTCCGTATTTAAAAAATTTTAAATTTAATGATATCTTCGGACCAGTTTCATACATTTTTCAACAAGATAATGCTTCTATTCATAACGCTCGAGTAGTAAAGTCGTTAAATTGGAATCGAAACGTTAATATCATGACCTGGCCACCATATTCTCCGGATCTGAACGTAATTGAAAATGTTTGGGGCTGGCTTGCACGGAAGGTATACGAATGGGGAATACAATACGAAGATAAGGAAACATTAACTGAAGCTATTAAACGTTCTTTAAGCGAGATTTCCCTGACCAACATAAATTCCCTGTATCATTCTATGAAGGTCCGGATATATGAAGTTATTACTAACAACTTGTTAGTGCTCTGGTACTGCCTCCCTTGTTACTAACTGCTGCAGTATTCATTACTGAAATTATTTCCTTAAAAAAAATTAATATGTCTAAGTGCGTCTATTCTATTGACCAAGAAAAAGGTTTGAAAAACACAATTTTGATAATTTTTTTAAATTATTCGAATATAATATTTACAGTATCATTGAATACCCAAGGTTTTTGCATGTCAAAATTTTCTCAGTCAGCATTAAAGTGATAGATATTAAACAAATTTTATTGCAAGTAAGCGTGCGTCTAACCTAAGACCAGCAGTGTACCTCAGGGTCGGAAGTTTACCTGGGTACAGGGTATTTCACTGTCGGGCTTGCTGGACTGTAGCGTTATCTCTTGTTTAATTTCATAATATTTTTATTTTCTTTAACTATTCTACACATATGTACAGAGCATTTAAAAGTCGGGACACCCGACCTTAGCTTCTCCACTTTTTTGTATTTGAGATCATCAATATTTTACGTTGTAGAAATAGAAGCACTGCGATAATGACCAAGAATGGAAAGCAAGAGTTCATCATTATATATCCCAAACCCAACACAAAAAGAAAACTATATATTTTGTTTATCTATATGTATAAAAATGGAAGTATATACATATATATATATATATATATATATATATATATATATATATATATATATATATATATATATATATATATATATATATATATATATATATATATATATATGTATATATGTATATATATATTGGTAAAAATAAAAAAAATACCACAAAATCGAAAAGGATGAGCGAAAAAAGGGCAGCTGAAAATGCCAATTTTCGGCAAATGCGCGAAAAGGCATCCACATCTGACCCAAGAAACACAAACAGGAGGCGATGGATATCCTCTGTACAGACGAAGGAAGGTGGACGTCGGTGGGGTTTCAACTATAATCAAGGATCTAATCGAAGCAATAAAAAGCGATGGAGGTATTGGGAATGATGTGACGCCGAAAAGCTTAAGAAGCACTACAATTCAGTGGCGCATCAATGCAAGCCGGATACGCTAGTTTGTGAATAAAAAACAGTTTCAACAGCATACATTTATGTCTGAATTGCTTCGCACTAAACTAGTAAACCCCTGTACATTTTAAAACTACCAAAAATAAATAGTTATTATTCGATTAATAATTCGAACTTCTCTATTTTTTTTCAGTGTAAAAAGCTATACATATACCATAAGGTTTAGTTTTCATAGTTATATCGCCCATTTATTTACTTTGGCTTTGACCAAAATGGAACCCCACATATTTGATACAAAAGGTAAGAGTAGAGAGAGTTCGATAATGTTTAAACAAGAAATAGTAATGCATATTTAATTGCAGGTTTCCATTTCAAGTCCACGAGATTTTGTTTTATATATTTTCTTAAAGCTGTACTATTCGCAACGTCGCTGGAATATCAACATAGCTACATCAACAACTACAACAACCAACAACAAAAGTTACTGCACCAAGCAGCATTACGCTAATATTTTCTTTCCGTTTTTCTGCAATTATGTAATATTGTTGTACGTCTTTTTTACTTCCCCACAGCTGGTATGATGAGTGTCAAATGGAGAGCTGGTGACTAGCAACTTCAACTGCCAGCAACAGCTACATGCTAAACATATAAAAATTTCTATGATTTCATGTTGTTTTTCAACATTATTTTGTTTTCTTCCTCCTTCTAGTTGTACAACGCTGATACTTTCAAACAAATGTTCTTTTTCCTAAGAAAAACAAACTGAAAAAAGGTAACAAAAAACAAATAAAGTGAAGATATTGATTTAATTTTACCAATAAACAAACACAAAGAGCGAAAGCCCTTTCAAATACACAAATGTTTTAATTTTGCTACCAAAATTCAAAGACATTGCGCGAATGAGTAGAACGTTACGGTTGCAGACGCCCGACTTCGGCATACACTATACCCGCCTCCGAATTCACCACTTCTGCGCGCCAATCATTGCTTTTTTAGGTATATGTACAAATTACAGTTACCCGATTTTTATGAAACTGCATGATAGAATTCACTGATTTTGATGAAACTTTAGATTATGGTAAGGTGTGCTTAAAAGCTTATATGTAAATACCAATTTGCTAATGTCGGTACCTTTATAAATAAAAACGTTATTGTTTTATTTGCACCGATCATTGCTATAGTATATACAAATATGGATTGTGAACAGCTTTGTCTGCATACGGAGAACGCAAGTCTACGAGATCTATAGCTGTATTGGCTCAAAACTTGTCGATGCTTATGAAGATTCGTCTCGTCACCACAGAAGGAATGCTCGTCGACTATTAAAACCGCTGTAAAACATTGTTTTACTTAAATGTTAATACATTTTTCGTTCAAACTAATTAAATGAAAATAATAAAGCTAATACTACTTAATATATATCAACTATGTGTGTGTTTATTTACGTAACTTCTACTTATGTACTTTGCATAGTTGAGCCAAAGAAGCAGCAACATCAACAACTGCCGGTGGGACATTTACGGGCTATATTCCTTGCAACTGACCTATCACGATGAATCTTGATGAGGACACATTCGCACTTATAGGATAATTCAATAATTTTGGTTCAACAATAGAATTCATATTACTAGCGAAAATCGAAAGTAGTAGTGGAATGGTGTCCTCCCTAGGACTTTAATTGTTCCTGTGAGCCTTGCGTTTATACGTTATTTCTGCTGTCTGCCACACCAACTTTTAGTTTTATACTATTTCAGTAGAAGGATTAAAAAAATTTGAAGGCAAGCTTTAAGCATAATAAAGCATTGTGTTTATTCGTGTATATTCAACCGCCTGTATTCACGATGATCCTCAATTATTTGATGAAACGGATAGTGCGGCACTCTGGATTCCATGCGCTGGTTGCGAAGTACAGCACATTCGATGTACGACTTCCAAGTATTGAACTCTGCTGTATGGCACTCCTCAGACCTGCCTAATTCATACATTTCACGCCGGAGTTCGAGGTAAATAGGTCTCTGCGAGTGGGTTTTGTTGTAGACGTGACGGCCCAGCCAAGCCTCAACTTTGCCAACTGTGTAAGCAGTCGACTTGGTCATGCAGACGGTGCTCAGTTTGCGACTCGGAGGATAGTAATTAGTGACAATGTTGGAGTGGATGCGCAAGCGCGGCACTGTAAACCGCTTGCTCAGAAGAAACCGGGTGTCCTTAAAGATATTGCCAAAAGTGGCAGCCCATGGATTGTACAACCAGTTGCCCAGACTGTCCATCGTGAATTTCGGTATGGCTATGGTCATTTCTGTTTCCTCAGGAGTGCTGGTCGACTGGATGTCAGTGCGAACGGCCCGAGGATGAGCTATCATCATGACGTTCTTTGCCGACCGCTTTGTTGTTGTGTTGTTTGATGGAGCGTTTGCTCTGGCTGTCACTATCTCCGCCGCGGCACCTGTCAGGCGCATCTTCCTCCATATATAGGCCGGTTTTGTCGTAGTGGCATTAAATGTCCTGGAAATTTGCGCTGCGTTTCCAGACTGCTGAAGAGGCTTTTCGCTACTCCTCGAGATATTGAACCAATCGACGGTGGCGCGTTTGGAGCTCTTCACGGCCGGAGGCAACGGCAGGGCATCGATTACTGTAGACAACTGCGTGTACTATGAGAAACCAAGAAGAACTTAGTGGTAGGGCTGAAGCCAAACTTACGCATATGACACAGGCGGCCACAAAAAACACTGCAAATTTTCCTCTATTCATTTAATTCTGTTATGCTTCCCAGTCTGTTCCTGAGCATTTATCTCGTTGGGATTGTAGTTCAGGATGGATTGGAGTGGTGTCTGTTATATTTATAAATGTATATCTTTGTTGTTTTTTTTTTAAATCTATGTTTAAGTTTTTTTGTTATGTATTTTATTGCTGCGTTTGTAAAGTACATAAATATGTACTATTTACTTTACAGTGTGACATTTAAAACTGCGTCAGAGACAATCATGTTTTTCCCATTCTGAAGCAAGTTAACTTTTTGAAAGAGTTTAGTATGCTTTATGCGTTTAGTATGTTAGTATGCTGAAATCAAACAGAGAAAGCCTAGTTTAGTCTTCAGTTCAAATATAGATGTTGTTTAATATACAGTATGTATGTATTTCATTTGACATACATATGAGGGACATAATTTAAACGTTATACAAAACATACATATTCATTTGTCAGACTAGTAATCCAACAATTAAAAAATAAATGCCAAGATTTTAATAAACAAGTAGAAATTAAGAAAATTAAAAAAAAAACTGTAGTCGATTTTACCTCTCTCTGTATTCGAACTCACGTAAAGGGTGTATAATTGCACATTTACATAAAAACTGTATCTGTGTGAGTGTATGCATGTCTATGCGTGTCTATTCGTGTCTGTGTGAGCATGTTTGCAGTCAACCAAAGCACGAGCATCAACAACAGCTGCGGGCAGCGCTTGGGCAGCAAATATATTTATGGCTATAACTTCTTGTTAAATCGGTCTATCATAATAAAACTTGGCATACGGACACATAATCACTAACTGGGGGTTTTTGCAAAAGTTGCGTTCGAAATTCTAAGAATTACGGGATTAACGTGGATCATACTCCAAAAAAATCGTGTTCCTAGCACTTATACGATTATACGAATGGAAAATCGGGAAAACCCCCATAGGGGGAAGTGGGGGGAATCAAAAAAATTAATCAAATATTCGCAGCGTACACACATAAGGCTTCTTTGTGCACAATTTGGTATCTCTGGTTCTTATACTAGTCTCTGAGATCCAGGTGTTCATGCAGACAGACGGACAGACAGGACTAGATCGACTCGTCTTGTCATGCTGATCAAGAATATATATACTTTGTAGGGTCTGCCACACCTCCTTCTGCCTGTCAGCTCGCGCAAACCTAATATACTCTTGTACATTTCATGTATAGTACAAGTATATTAGAGTATAATAAAAATAATAAAATATGTATCCCGATAACAACAGCCAGGTATCTTGAAATTAAGATCTTGAAATTAAATTAATTTTTAATTAATTAAATTTAATTAATTAATTTTTATACACAGAACCATTACTCGAAAAGAGCCGAATTATTTGTATGACAAAATTTCATTTACCTCTTCAAGAAGAACAAATAATATAGTCTGCATAAGATATAGATTATCTTGTTCTGAAAAACACTTTTTTATATTTGCTGTTCGTCTGTGGAACGAGTTACCGCATGGCTTAAAAACAATCAGCAATGAAACGCATTTTAGAAATAGAATTCATGCGCACTATCAAGAAAATACCTAAATGAAATAAAGTAAGAGCACAATATTAATACATTTACACTTAGTAGGCAACATTTTTGGTCAGATTATAAATAATAATAATATTAATAATACGAACCAAATACACTTTAAATTTATGTATAATTAAAATGTATCTAATATAAATAGGTTAAGTACTTGAATTTTAATAATATCTAAGGAAATTTAATTAATGTGACTAGTGCATTAATTTATAAGAATCATTCTTGTAGCACTAGGAATAAATAAATAAATAAATAAATAAATATATTTTTATGAGAAAAAAAAAAAAAAAAAAAAAACAATGCAATTGATATAAAGAAGGCACATATGAACATACTGATGGATAAACTAAATTTATTGTTTATGAACAAAAATGTATGTATTTTATGTTAATATTTAAGACTCCAAACAAATTCATGTAAACGGTGCGGTGAACATTAAAAATAAAATGCTTCAATCAAATCATATAAACTCGCTCATTTCATTTACATTTTTTATAGGTGATATCGAGTAAATTTGATAAATTAAAATGTTGTAAGAGGTCATCTCAAAAAATTGCTTGGGTCATACATATTTGTTCAAATTTCGAAACAAGAAAATCATTATATTTCCATGGTCTTGGATAGTGAATTATATATAAAGTCAGCTATTTCGACTTAAGAATGGTGTAGCACCGTTGCTATGACAACAATACTTGGAAATTAAATTTTGTTTAATTATCTATAAGAAATACGTTTTTTTAATTTTTTTTATATATACATATAATCAAAAAATGCTCGCAAAATGCACATGTTGAAAATCGGCTACATTGCTTGTTATGTTGGGTATATTACTATACAATTTCTCACTCAGATCAATCAATTAAATATTTGTGTTAAAATAAAGAGAAATTATTTTTCATTATTTGTTTTTCTTAAATTATATAGTTTACACCTAATTTATAATTGAACAAGTAAAAAAGCTAAAGTCGGATGTCCCGACTTTGAAATACTCTGTACATATGCTTACAATAATTATAGAAAATAAAAAAAATTTGATCGATTTTACCTCTCTCGGTATTCGAACTTACGTAAAGGGTGTATAATTGCACATTTACATAGCAATTGCGTCTGTGTGAGTGTATGTATGCCTATGCGCATCTATTCGTGTCATCAGCATCAACAACAGCCGCGGGCAGCGCTTGAGCAGCACTGCAGCAGCAAATATATTTATGGCTATAACTTCTTGTTAAATTGGTCTATCATGATGAAAATTGGCGTACGGACACATAATAACTGGGGGTATTTCCAAAATTTTAATTCGAAGTTCCAAGAATTACGGGAGTTACGATTTGCATGGGAGAGTGGGGAGGGAGGGAAATTTCAAAATATACATTTTCTGCGTATTCACATAAGGGATCTGGGACTAAAATTTGGTGTTCCTATAGTCTCCGAGATATAAGCGATTATACGAATGGAAAATCGGGAAAACACCCATAGGGGGGAAGTGGGGAGAAAATCAAAAAAATAAAACAAACTCGTATAGAATACACACATAATTTGGTGTCTCTATCTCTTATAGTCTCTGAGATCCAGGTGTTCTTACGGACGGACAGACAGACAGACAGGGCTAGATCGACTCGTCTTGTCACGCTGATCAAGAATATATATACTTTGTGGGGTCTGCCACGCCTCCTTCTGCCTGTTACATTTTTCAGCTCCCGCAAACCTAATATACTTACTTCTGTACATTTCATGTACAGAGTTAACAATCAAGAACGTTCAGTGCGAATGCAATACGTAATTATTGTTCCTATTAGAGCTATGCAAAATAATTGAGATTTTTGTTACGACTCAAAATTCTCGATTTTCATACAAGAGACGAATAGTTATTCCTCGTTGCGTTATTCGAATCACATATATATATATTATAATATACTACATAAATATCACGTCTTCGAAAATCCATTTATGATTGATCATTTCTGCAAAAAAGTAATAATATTTGTCATAACATATCTTACTTAATGTAGCTGTCTCTTATTTCTTGGAATTCCTCATACTCCCCAGATGTTCGTTATACAGTTTAAAATACATGCTTTCTAAATGGGAGTTGTGATGTTTAGCTTTTCCACCCATTTTAAAGTTAAAATCGCTTCGCAGATCAACGTCTCAGCGCTTAAGAATATCGCTGGGCCAAGAGGTTCCGTAGTCGGACCTGTTCAAAACATGCGACGCGAAAGCAGGATTAGCTGCTATTCTATTCCAAGTTCTTTTAACCATTGGTACAGTCACCACAATATCAACTTCTGGTAGATGTACAGAAGGTATCGCCCAAGGTTAATAATGCATCAAACCCGGCTACTATGCTCGTACCTACTGTTCGGCCTAACTGACCAATTAAACGGATACCAGAGTGACAAAAGGTGTTTCCGTGCCAGATCTCGGCAAAACTTAATTGCACTTCTGCGAATCTTTGCGTAAAACAGCTGCGCGTTTTTCCATATAAATGTGCGGCATTAATCCGTTTATGATTTCGGACGGGGATTAAGTTGCAGATTCCGATGGAGGTCAGCGCGAGGACGCGCGTTCGGAGAAAAGCGTCGACTCGATTGTGCGTGTGTCACAGGTAAACGCTGATCGCACAGGTACCACAGGAGTGGCCGGGCAGCAGGACTCGAGTATAAAAGATCGAGCTGCTCGTACCATGGTCGTCAGTTACAATTCTGAGCGCAGTGGGCGCAAGTGCTAGCTACAACGCATTTATATTACAAACTTTGCTCTGTTATGCCATCTAATGTGCATCACTGGATGAAGTTTGTCTTATAATGGAAGTGACGACTGGTATATTATTGTAATAGTGCGTGTAGTGTACTTCAAAACTTTCCCCGCTTCTGGGATGCATTTTGTGCAGTTATGGCATGTGATGGACTCATCACTGGGCAAAGTGTGTCTCAAAATTGGGCGTTGTGCCAACTGCAACTACTGTCTAAGAACCTAACGTTAATCTGTGCGATCTGCGGAATTTTAAAATTAAATGGCGATTGTCGGTATAGTCGCTTTTTTAATAAAACACTCAAGCGAAGTGACTAGACCGAACACTCGTGCTATAATTTTAAAATGTACAACATTGCGAGCGGCTTCTACATTCTATAGCCATGGACAGTTATAGAGGTTGCAATTAGTTTCTTTGGTCGTCCAGCCTTAGGTGATTGCTATGATCATAAAGCTAGACAACCATTGAAGTTCGTTGTGGCATTTGCAGCTATATACTTCGAAAGCGAAACGTGAATCGCCATTCATTTCTCTGTAGCCAAGCCATGCGCTAAAAGGAACGATCGTTGTGATATGCTAGTTTACCGTTACATATCACAGTGATTTTCCTTTATAGCGCGTGTGTTTTCAAATACAACAGAAGTGTTCCAGACTTGGCCTGACATTAATACTGAACTGAAGACATCTCTTTCTTGTCGGTTAGCCACAGGGAACTACTGCTGCTGATATATGTACGATTCGCATTTCTATATCACAGTGGCTGTTCTTTTTGGTTGTGCGACCTTTGCCAACAACATTTATAGTATTTCTCAAAAGTATTGTTTGTGAATTATAGTATAATATCAGTAAATTGCTCGAAAGAAAGAGAACGTCTGCTGCTGATGTAGTTGCGTATGCAATCATATTTTATATCACAGTGGCTGTTCTTTTTTGTTTGACAATATATCCACGGAGCCATTACATTGACAAAAATTAAATCGAAAAAAACCATAAATTTAATGTTTCCGCACCTGTTTTCTATTTTTTATTTGTATACATTTTAATATATTTGTTTGGTTATTTTATGTTTAATATTATTATTATGGTGTTATAAAACCCCTCTGCCTATAAATAATTCGCTTTCATTTGAAAAGAGAGAAACCGTCAGTTTTATTTCCCTCCATTTAATTGATTGATTAAAAATGTTAGTCAGTTAACATAATATATAAGCGATTCGAGCTCGCTATACCCATCCCTCTGCCTATCACTCTCCTCCAACAAAAAAACCATTTTCTCCACCATTGTTCATATGGTAGCTGTATGATACTGTGGACAGATTTTGATTAAACTTCACAATATGATGAGGCACTTTACAAAGCTTATAACTTACAGACTATGGTTTTTTTTTTTCACATATACTACTAAATGTGGACTATTTAGTACACGCTTTCTTAAATAGGTCGTACTTTATGGTAGTGGGTACAGGGTATTTAGGAGTTGAAGCCGCCCGACTGTAGTATTCCTTTCTTGTTTGGTTTATATTTTAGTTAAATGTTGTTAAAAATGTAATTTACCATATCCATGTTTTTCTTATTATTCTTCTTATTTCTTGAAGAAGGACTGTTTAGTCTCATATCGATCAGTATGACAAGGAAAGACATACATACTTTAGGCTTACATAAGTACATCCGTACTAAACTAGTATACCCTTTTACCCTTTGGGTACATACTCCCACATAGTACTTGTATGTATGTATACGTACACGGATGTACTTTACCAATCGATAAAAACTTGCATCAAGTTCGTTTCCACGTTTATGTGTGCATTGCATTACGGCAACATCTGTTGAATGCATTGACTGTGCTGTTCCATGGCACTATTATGGTGGTCGTTGTGCCTAATTTCTGACCATACCATTATTTTACATACTAAACTAAACTACGGACCGCATGTCACACGCTGCCACTCCTACGCGCTTTCCTGTCTTGCCACCCTGCGCCAGAAACGTTGCTTAGCGGAAGCCCAACGCAAAGGAAAAGGAAGCGGAACACCGGAAATGCGATTAAATTTTTCCAGCAGGAAAACCACAGAGTTGTCTCCGCATGCGGCAACGCATGTAGTATGTACACGTATTTATATTTGCTGATTTTCTTGATTTCTGCGTACCTGTGAGTCTTTGTGTGTGTGACTCGCATCCTACACACATGTACATACATACACATGTATATTGGTTATGGACTAGGCATGTGTACAGCAGTATCTACACATTTACGAGTGCATACTATGTATGTATATAACAAGTAAAAAAGCTAAAGGCGAGTGTCCCGACTTTGAAATACTCTGTACATATGTTTAGAATAATTATAGAAATTAAAAAAAGTAAGAGAATTAAAAAAAATATTTTTGATCGATTTCACCTCAAATATATTTATGGCTATAACTTCCTGTTGAATCGGTCTATCATGATGAAACTTAGCATACGGACACATAATCACTAACTGAAGGTATTTGCCAAGTTCGAAATTCCAAGAATTACGGGAGTTAGAGAAAATCGCGATTTGCATGGGAGAGGGGGAAGGAGGGAAATTCCAAAATACACATTTTCTGCGTATTCCCATAATGCATCTGGGACTAAAATTTGGTGTTCCTAGGTCTTATAGTCTCCGAGATATAGGCGATTATACGAATGGAAAATCGGGAGAACCCCCATAGGGGGGAAGTGGGGGGGGGGGGGGGGAAATCAAAAAAATAAAACAAACTCGTATAGAATACACACATAAGGCATCTTTGTGCAAAGTTTGGTGTCTCTAGCTCTTATAGTCTCTGAGATCCAGGTGTTCATATAGAATATATATACTTTGTGGGGTCTGCCACGCCTCCTTCTGCCTGTTACACTTTCAGCTGCCGCAAACCTAATATACTCTTGTACATTTTATGTACAGAGTATAAAAACTGTCGTATTTAATTCTGGAGAACAACAAAACGAATCTGTCAATGTGGGTTTCGTGTTTGGTCAGACACTTCCGCAACATTTGCTAAAACTATGAATACAATTTTAATGAAACATTTATTGGTTGATTAATGGAGTTACAGATTGTTTTTAATGTGTGTATTATTTAGTTTTGTCTGCTAACGAAGCGATACAAATAATTTTCGACGCGGATCTTGTCGCGTAGCTCTTTGCGTGATGTTATCTCCCGGGCCGCAGTCGTACCTCCGTGATCGTGGAAGAAGCCACAATAGCGGGCCGGTACAAACCGCTTGATATCTCTGCGGAGCCGGAAGCGCTCGACCACCTGCAGCTCGCAGTGCTGGATGACGTCCATCTGGGCACGCATGCACACACGGCACAGATCCTGGTTTGTGTCAAAGTTGTGGAAGTAGTCGCCTATGGGTGAAGTTTGGCAAGTCATGCACTGGGCCGTGTTGTTGGGGCTGCAGAAGACGGCTACCGCTGGCCAGATAAGGCGATGTTTGCCAAAAGCCTTTTCTATGTTCCAGCCAGGATAGTCAATATGGTAGGAGTAGGTTGAGGGGCTGCAAAGGGAACCACAGAATGTAGTTTTGATCAAGCTAAGAAATTTTGTCATTCAAACCCACCCCGGTGTCATCCATTTGGGATTACGGCTTAGCGCCTCTTTGTTGAAGGTGAAGCCGTCGCGATCGGTAGGTCGCCAACGCTCCGGTGCATAGGTGCCTAGTGGCGGGACATTCTGCTCAGGTGTCGCCGGCAAGCGTGCTTTTTTGTTTGCCATCGCTGAGAACCCCATTACAGAGGGATACTAAAAGGAAAATGTTAATTAATAATCATTTCCTTATTTTTTGTAATTATGAGGTTTCTTATTTCGAGTTTTTGTTAAATGAATTAATATTAAATTTTATTTAACGATAAAGGAGCCATTTTACTTTGGGTATCAAATAAATAGTTTTTTTTTTCGTCCTATTTAATTATTTCGGGCACCTAATATTCATTGAAAATAATAAATATTTACCCAAATCCCTAAAGTGATCATAGTATTCAATATTTAAACATAAGTAAGTATATGTCAGTAAATTTGAATCTGTTTGATCAAGGTATTCAAGCACCCTCTTAAGGGTGAAAAGTCTATCGAGCTTGGTTATTGGATTAGCTAAGCTACCCACGGTAGGTATAGGACCTGCTCTTGTCATAACTAATGGTGTAATTTTGTGGGTTTTTTTGACAGTTTAAAAAGTGAAAAAGCCATGAGTCACAATTAGGGTATATCGTGAATAAGGAAGCGAAAACATTTATCTTATATTGTGACAACATTTGTCTTATAATTTGGAATATTATTCATAAATATATATATATATATTATTCATAAATATTTTCTGTATTCTATTAAAGATTTTTAGACAAATATAATTGAGTATTTGTTTAATCGTTTAACAGATATTGTCTGTGTTCTTTGAATAATGTTGTTGGCAACTGGAACTCACCTGGTAGCCTAATGGCTTTTCAACATCGTAATCGAAGGGACCTGGCAATGAGCGTTCCTCCGGGAGTAAGCGACGCATAAAGCTATCCATGCTGGGCCCACTTGTGGGCAATACCTCTCGGTGTATGGTGGTGCCGAAGGCCACTTTTGGAATAACCGTCGGATTGACAACATATTCGAACCCTGAAAATCGTTTGTGACCATTAATGTATCGTATATATTTTTTCCAGGTGCTTGTTCGTCCTAACTTCGATCTTTGCAGCGCGCGATTATCAAACGCCTCTCCGACCGTTGGCGTCGCAATTGCTCGCGGTCCGCGGCATTCAGCTTACGGGCACGCATGTTGCCTCAAGACTAAAGTATACCACTACCTGGTGCCCCAATAATTGGCCAGCGATGACAACGGCTCCCGTTACTTCGTTGCGGGCGATGTGGTAAAAAATATTGTTCCTCCAGACACGCATGGCGCGCACTTGGCACGCACACTGGTCTCACACGCTGTTCCACCTTCCGTATAACTGATTCGTATCAATAATAATCGGAAATAGTTCGCGTTGTCTGATAAAAATCAATATAACGGTGGAATCGGGTGCGAGGGCCGAATGTAAATGGTTAAAGCATTTTATTTTGGCTGTCATGTCTAGATGGATGTGTTTTTTTCCACATCATAGCCCGAACTGTGACCCACTTCGAGAAAATTAGGATTGGACTGGCATTCAAATGGGGTTGGGTATTGACAGCCAATGTGGAGTTTTGGGTTCTTTGCCTATTGTGGTAATGATGGAAATTATTGTGTGGCTAAAAATTAACGCATATTCAATCAAATCTGAAATTCCATACGTGAACAATATCGAAGGTTTTCACTCATGAGCATACTTAATATTTATCTATTATGCCCTCTGAGGTTAATTTATTGTGCATTGGTATAAATTGTTATACTATGTATGTACATGAAATGTACAAGAGTATATATATTAGGATTGCGGGAGGTGAAAGATGTAACATGCAGAAGGAGGCCTTATGTGTTTACGATGTGCAAGTTGATTTTATTTTTTTTTACCCCCCGCCCACGTTCACTTTATCGATAATGGGGATCATCGATCTCTCGGAGACTATAATAGCTAGAGACGCATTTTGTCCAAGATGCAGAAAATGTACATTTCAGAATTTTCCGCCTTCCCAACCTCTTCCGCAATTTGTGATTTTCCATAAAAATTTTATACTCAAATATAGCGTACTCAGGTAGTTACTTCCAACTAAAGTTGTCTGATGAAACCCAGAAATTGATTTCGGTTATTGTGGCAATATGTACACTTTCGACGATGTATATCGCCTCGCATTGACTGCAGTCATATTGCTGTTGCTTCCCGATAATTTTTAGCACCGTAATTGGGGAATTATATGTATTAATAATGTGGGATTCTAAAAGAAGAATTATATCTATATCCTTATCGGTAGGAAATATTAACAGCTCCAGTCTATGGCTTGGCATTCCAAAGGACTATATGTATGTTTAGTGAAAGCATTATGTTCAGTGTGCAGTAGTAAGTAATTAATTTAGCTTGCAGTGTACTTTCCATTCTAGCTTTACTTGTATAGCTTTACTTGTATAATAAATCGTGTTTTGTTGCTATCGAAGTTGCAATATTATTTCTCTAGCTTTTCATAATATGCTCTGCGAAGCTTGGTTGCTGACGTTTCAAAATGGAAGATAGTAGGGGGCAGATTGGTCTACTTTTAGAAGTTAAAATTGTAGCCCTGATTCGAGCTTTTAATTTCCAGATTGCAGTGTATTTGAAAATGACACACCAAGGACTTTTGAGTCACAGATATCCTCGGACCTCTGAGATCCTTGCAGTGTAATTTTCAACCGCAGTTGCTGCATTTTTTCGCTGAAGGTTTTCTTTTTATTATCGGCGCAAGTGGTGGAATTATGTAACGTACCACAAACGACACATACAGATCGTAGTATGAAATGCATTTTTCTTTAACGTTTTGCTGCCAGACTCAAGCTCGATTTTCAATATATAGTACATGATCACTTTTTTTTCGAAAATCTCGGTTACCGTCTGCATTATGCTCTATGCCTACAAGTATAATAGTTAATGTTAGTTTTTTTTAGGTCCTCAGATACTGTGCGGCATTTCCCTTTAGAATGAACTTGGAGTTTAGTTTCGCTTAGTAATATGTAAGCTGGCTTCGGAGCTGGAGCTATCGCTGGGCGTTTTACAGATAGGGGTTGAAATAATTACATAGTACGGCCTCTATATGGTTTTCTCACAAACATATTTTTATTCCCAAAGGGTTTTAGGATATACCAGGATATATATGGATTTAGGGGCCTAAAACTAAGTATCTAGTAATCTGATTTTGAAATAATACCTACATCGGCATGTGGGTAGATGCTTAGTACAGAAATGAGGTTTTATGTTTCATTGTGAAGCCTTAATGCTTTGTGGAAGCTCTATCACAAGTTTGTCACAATAAATTACTGACGAACAAATAGTTTTTATATCCTACGCCTACCAGTAATTTCCCCTTTCTCGCCGCCGTTTCTTTGTATCCAAAAGATCATTGAATATCGATCCAATATAATTTATATATAAATACACACACTGACCTACAAATACACTTCGCACTTACCTTCCATTTGAATAAACTCTATGTATATACAAGTGTTAGGAAACTACTCTTAAAATTTTGGTTCGCTACAATTTTTGTCCTCGAAAATGATGTGTTAAAAAGTAAATTCTTCGAGTGAATCGAATTTGAGTAAATATTGACATATCTCTCTTGGCATGTTCAAATTAAGAAGTAAATGTAGAGCAACAAATTGTTTTAAAATACTTATGTACATTGCAAGCACAATTGCCATACACCACCTAGAGGGAGGCCTGAGTGTGCTTGGCGTATAAATAATCATTAATTTCGACAATTTTCCAAGCGGGTGCATTGCAGCAACACGGAATGCCATGTGTAGCTGCACGATATTAATGCCAGCTAAGCCCAATGTTGGTGTTGTCAGCTGCAGCTGCGACGACGTTGGTTTTTCCGGCTTGGACTCACGCACATGAATGCTAATGAGTCCCGCGGTGGGAGGACGTCAGGGAAGGTGCTTAGGGAGGGGCGGTGCACTCAACAAAGCAGACACAAAACCACCCACATAGCCACCAAGTGAGCTGCTTAAATAGCAAACAAATAAATGATTGTGCAACATTGTGCATACGTATAGTACATGCATACGAATTCTACAGATGATGATTGTTGTTATGGTTGTACATAGTGAAACCCGTGGCTAACTCTTAAGAACTCCCGTCGAAGTGCTGCCATCGTTTCAACTGCAATCAAACATTTGGTATAATAAAAGAAGTGGAGAAGCTAAAGTCGAGTCTCTCGACTTTGAAATACGTTGTACATATGTAAGTGTAGAATAATTAAAGAAATTGAAATAATTATGAAATTTTTAAAAAAGGAACAAAATGTTTATCGATTGATTCATTGATATTTGAACTCACGTAAAGGGTGTAGAATTGCAGGTTTACATAGAAGTTATGTCTATGTAAGTCTCAAACTCGTATTACGAACACACATAGGGTATCTGTGTACCAAATATGGTGTCTCAATCTCTTATAGTCTCTGAGATTCAGAGCTTCATACGGGCGGACGGACAGACAGACATTGATCGACTTTGTGGCGTCTGCCACGCCTCCTTCTGCCTGTTACATAATCCACCTCCCGCACACTAATACCTATGTATACTCTTGTAATTTCATGTACAGAGTATAAACACAATCATGGTCATTCTCGGATTTAGTAGCATCTGGATTCCAAATTTAATTAAAGTTCCTACACACAGACTGACCGAGAATATATAAACTTTGTCTGCCACGCCTCCTTCCTTGTGTTAATTTTACAGTCGCACAAAATTATATACCCTTTTACCCTTTGGGTACAGGGTATAAACATCTGGACGAGATAAGAAAGTTGGTGGCGAAAGTAAGACTGCAGCCCACTTCTGGGATCAATTTCTGAAGAAAGATAAACCACACTGTTACACATACATTTTGTAGATCAATGCTGTGTCGAACGAATCGCATTGAAAAATAACATTTTAATGATTGAATTTTCAATATTCACAACGTAACAAAATTTCTCATCGAGACGAATGCTGTAATATGGACTCTGTACATGAAGCGCCGGACTTAAAATTACTTTCCCTGAATGAACATATTTTTAGCCATTGAAATCGGATAATAAGTCCATACACAGTAGCACCTATATTGTGTGAATGAGTTGTTTTATTAACAGAAACTAAATTATCGTTTACGATTAATTGTTTATGCATTACACTGCAGTGCACTGGTAAGACGCAAGTAAAATGCAACTCTGGTCCAAAGACAATTTCGAGATATTTTGCAACCATGCGAGGGTGCAAAAGTTTAGCAAAATAGCGTGCCAAAAAAGAGGCCACAAAGCAACTTTTACGCCTACTCGTATGACATGCTGGAAAAGTAAACTAGACACATAGCCAACTAAAGCTGGCGGAAATGTGTGTCTTTTCAAGCGTAGCAATGATACTACAATAACTTTGGTTCCACTCTCCACACGAAAAATGTCCTTGACAATAAAAACGAAACAATTTCAAACAAGCACGCAAAGCAACTTAAGTCTTTTTCGGGACGGAAATGGAGCTTATTATGGCAGGATGTTGCTAGACGGAAATGAAAAACGCAACCCAAGCCCATCGTCCTGTGAGCCTTGGAATTAAAACGTATCAAGAACTAATTAGGCATGAGCAAAAGCACAATCAATATCGAATTGCACTTGAACTGCAGACTTCAGATGCAGAATTAATATCCAAATGTTATTCTCTGGGAGAAATGATCACACAAATGAACTCAAAATCAGGTTACACATTTTTCCAACGTCTAACAGGCAGAAACTGTAAAACTCGTTAAAAAGCGAACCCATTAAAAAATAAACTTAGAGTTGCAATCCAATGTCAATTATATGATGTTGCTACCTTAATCATTTAATCTGATGCGCTGCAACCACCGCACCATGAGCATGAACTTATTGCCAAAAACCACTTCAAAATTTGATACCAAGAGGACGCTGGTTAACTCGCAGAAAATGTTTGTAGAAACTAATTACATGTGTCTTTATATACTCAATTGCATCGCAAGCTTCTTAACTCCCTAATACCCATATGACCATAACTTTCACCAACCAACAAAATTTACTTTCTTGTGCTATTTCCATACTTTCGTATATAGTCCCCGTTTCTGGAGTGCTCTCGTTTGTGTCGAGAGCGAGCTAAACGATGTTGTTTTTGAATGCAATAACAATGCCCGATATAAAAAGATGCCGGAGCTGCAGTACATAACGGATAACATAAATATGTTTATTGAGTTTTCTTGATGCAAAGGCTATCTGGAGTCCATCTTGCGAAAGAAATCAAAGCGAAAGCGAAGTTGCTGGCATCTGTAGTTAATTTAAATCCTCATTACTTAATTTTGCTTAATTACATTTTCAAAGGAAATTATATAGCATAGGTCTTCTACCTGTTGTATTTTTGCATGATATCTATATAAGCGTCATATTTTGGGCTACTTTTGTCATAGTCCTTCATAAATTTCCTATTATATATAATAGCTAAAAATGTTTTAATTCGCATTTGCGTTTTTGATAGCTTAAGGATTTTTTCAGGTAAGATTTTATGTCGTCGGCTGTCAGAATACTATATGGCAAGGCAATGTTTATTTCTCCAGAAAGTTATTTTAAACCAAATGACATATCAACAAATTCGTAGTAGTCGAATGGAGTTAAAGATGCGAGTTTCGTTTGCTCCTCCTGTCGTTTTCCCCAATGGCAGAAATTTTGAGAATTCAGCCCATTTGGAATTCAATTAATATTAGAAGAGAAGTACAACTACTATGTCAGTTGTTTGAAAGAAAAAAGTTGGTGGTGAAAATTTCAATCGATCTATTTTAAAATTTGGGTAGATACTGGAGAAACAGGACATGCAACTTGGATTTCTTGGATTTTTAAACATGCAAATGTGCTTTTCACTTAGCTCCCATTTACTGATAACAGAATAAGAAAACCAACAAATAATAAAAAGTAGATAAAACAATGCATATTGTGTAGCGGGGAGAGGACGGGAAACATAAAAATCAAAATAAATAAACTCGTATAGACTAGGGACTAGGACTGTTCACATACCAAGTTTCGTTAATATGCGACCAGCCGTTTCCGAAATTCAGGCGTTCATTCATTGGGAAGCTAAAACGATAATCGACAACAATTGTACAATCTAAGCGTACAAAGCCGCATTAAAATTATACATACATGAAATGAAGTTTATGTTTAAGGACTTTGGGAGAGCTGGCGAGTACATATACATAACGGGCAATACTATACTCGATTTGTTATATTTAATGAAGTACAAAAATCCCAAATCGTCTAAGTTTCTAGTAAAGGCACTCTTAGGGTTTCCTTATATTGAAACCACTTTTACAAATCCAAAACCATTTCGCTACCTTTTGCCATCTCATCATTTCACTTGTCACATTTAAATTGCATAAATGTTGCTTAAATGCATTCCAACGAGTGTGTGTTGCTAGCCTCAGTACCACGTACAGACTTACAAATGCACATACAAGTATGTATGTATGCTTCGTTTGCCAATAAAATACAAGTGAACACACACAAGCTATGAGAGAAAACCATGTCTATGGATGCAAGGAGAGTGTGAGCACACTGCAATCAAGATGTCAGTCCGCCCGGACTCAGTCGAAAATAACACCAACCATTTGTACCCGTATATAGTATAGCATGTGTCTAACGACTGGCTTTTGACAGCCGTACGCCACGGAAGACATTGAGGCTAGCGGCCTTGCCCCGGTGTGAAGATGGATGGGAGAGTTCCAGCGCCGGTCTTTGCTGATTGTTATGCTGTTGATCAGTGGTTTCACTAAGATATTGGCTGGCGTACTCGTAAGTGTAATGCTGAATAAATACTTTGTAAATACAGGAAGTTTGTTCGCGGTTGCTCTGCACAACGAATCGAAGTCAATGAAATGTGTATTGAGACTGGGTTTAAAATTGTTATTGAAGTCTTCCACCAAGACCGCCACACTCCCCTCCTATAAGTGATTTATTCTCCTTAACTGCCATGGTTCTTGGAAATGTTTATGGATAATTGATAATAGTATCCGGTTTATGCCTATTTGTCCTTAATTTTCATTATGATGGGTGAATTCTGAAAGTTACATACTTGTATCTATATAACTTTATAGTTATTGCACTAAATGTAATCTCTACTAGCATCTGCTGTTGTTATTACTGCTTCGGCTCAACTATGAACTGCAAATAGAAACATAGAAACTTATTATTTACTAGTAGGCCTACATATATATAGTATGTACTTTTATGTGTAGGTGTACGTACATACATACATTATTATATTTATTTCTTCTAAACTTCACTTAAAATTTCAAAAAACATGATTCGCAGCTAACCTTGTATTCTTTCTTAGAGTATATAAACCAAGTTTTAAGATTATCGGTGGAAGTACTATTTGCCTCCATCCACTCAGTAAGCTGCAAGTATGTCGCTTACTACCAAGCTGTGTGGACACATATATACATATATATTGTAAACAATTGCAAACATCCTAGATAATAAATAAATATTACTTGTTTTCCTGGTCTGCCTGTCAGACCTGCGCTTAAGGCATT